TCTTCTCTTTCAACACCATTGACAAAGTTGACTCAAAAGGCAACTAAGTTTCAGTGGACTGATTCTTGTGAGCGCAGTTTCCGGGCATTGAAGGACAAATTGACTTCAGCACCGATTCTGACACTTCTAGAGGGAACCGATGGTTATGCTATCTATTGTGACGCTTTGGGTGTTGGATTGGTCTATGTATTGATGCATCATCGTAGCGTTGTCATTTATGCTTCTAGACAACTAAGGAAGCATGAGATGAATTACCCGACCCACGATTTAGAGTTAGCCGCGGTGATTAATGCACTAAAGATGTGGAGGCACTATTTGTATGGCATACATGTTGATATCTATACGGATCATAAGAGCCTTCAGTATATCTTTAAGCAAAAGGAATTATTAGGTGATGGTTGGAGCTACTGAAAGACTATGATGTTGATATTTTATAACATCTAGGGAAGGCGAATGTAGTAGCTGACGCCCTCAGCCGTAGATCTATGGGTAGCCTATCATATTTACATCCATAGAAGAGTGAGATAGCCCATGAGATTCATCAGCTAACTAGTCTTGGAGTTCCATTACTGGATTCAGGTGATACCGGAGTTACTATTCAGGATATGCCGACATCCTCTTTAGTAACTGAAGTGAAGGAACGACAGTATGAGGATCCTGTTCTAGCTCATTATAGGGACACATCCACTCAAAATAAGACGACACCATTTGAGATTACATGAGATGGAGTCCTCAGATATCGAGGTCGATTATGTGTTCCTAATGTAGCAGGGCTGCACCGACAGGTTAAGGGAGAAACTCATTATTCTCATTATCATGTTCATCTAGGAACGACAAAGATGTATCATGATATCAGGGAAATATACTGATGGGACGAAATGAAGAAGGATATAGCAGAGTTTGTTGCTCAGTGCCTAATTATCAGCAGGCTAAGATTGAGCATCAGAAACCCAGTGGATTATTGTAGTCTATAGAGATTCCAACTTGCAAATGGGAAGTAATTAATATGGATTTCATCATAGGCTTACCTCGTACCCAGCGTAAGTTCAATTCTATATGGTGATTGTTGATTGACTTACAAAATCAACCCATTTTTTGCCTGTCGGGACTACGCATTCAGTAGAGGATTACGCAGGGCTTTACATTAAGGAGATAGTATGACTTCATGATGTCCCTATATCTACTATCTCAAATAGAGGTGGTCAGTTTACAGCTAATTTCTGGAGGTCCTTCCAAAAAGGATTGGGGACTCAGGTAAGTCTTAGTACAATATTTCATCCCCAAACAGATGGTCATGCTGAGCGTACTATTCAGACACTTGAGGATATGCTAGGGGCTTGTGTGATAGACTTCATGGGTAACTGGGGTGATCATCTTCCTCTTATTGAGTTTGCATATAATAATAGTTATCATTCCAGCATTCAAATGGCTTCATACGAAGCTCTTTATGGACGAAAAATGTAGGTCGCCTATCAGATGGTTCAATGTTGGGGAAACTAAGTTAGTAGGACCAGAGTTGGTATAACAGGCAGTTGAGAAGATCAAACTTATAAGAGAAAGACTATTGGCAGCTCAGAGTTGTCAGAAGTCCTATGCAGATAATCAACGACGAGACTTGGAGTTTCAGGTGGACGATTGGGTATTCCTAAAGGTATCACCGATGAAAGGCATTATGAGATTCGGTAAGAAAGGAAAGCTTAGCCCTCGGTACATTAGACCTTATAAGATCATACACAGAATAGGCCAAGTAGCATATGAGTTAGACTTGCCTTCCAACTTGGAGTCCTTGCATCCAGTCTTTTATGTGTATGCTCTGTAAGTGTATCGGAGATCCATTTAGGGTCATTTCAGTTGACGATGTTCAGGTCACATAGCAATTATCATATGGGGAGGCTCCCATTGCGATACTAGATAGTCAAGTTTGAAGATTGAGAACTGAGGGCATTGCTTCGGTTAAGGTACTTTGGAGAAACAAGAATGTGGAGGAGATGACTTGGGAAGCTGAATAAAGTCTAGGTATTCTCACTTGTTTCCACTTTTGGAAGAGGAGTCGATTGAGACATCACAGCCTTTAGGTGTGTATACGATACTAGATTCTTATGTTAGTTACTATCATTGATCGTATGAGGCCATTGGTGTTATTGATGATTGTGGACCCGTTTGGATTTGTATTGTTGGGTTTTCTGCATGACAGGTTGGTTTTAGTACTGTTACAGAGGAGACTCTGCCAAAATTTATATAGATCTCTGGGAGTTTAACATTCGAGGATGAATACTTCTAATAGAGGACGATTGTTACATCATGTGCGTCCTAAGGTGACATATAATGAATATGAGACTTTCTAATCATCATTTAAATGATTCTAAAGCCATAATATGACTATATATGATGTTTGGATATAAAATATAAAGTTTGGGAAAAATCAGATTTAAGTTGCGTAAAAAACGACTAAGGATTTACCTTGTAACGAAGCTTTTTGAGCAATACATTTTATGTGTTATATGAGGTATTCTTGGGATATATTATATGCCAAATTGAAGGTCTTGGAATGTTTTCCAAAACTCTTAATCGTTCATTCATACAAATTCGGATAAAAAGATATAATCATCGGAAGAAGGGTCAATGCCAGGGTGCCAAGCTAGCACCTCTTTGACTTTTCAAAAGTGGATATATACATATGCCTTATGTCATCTTTTTCTTCATTATTTCAGAGACCACGACCAAATAGGACCTATAAATGTACCCTTAAGCTTTATACAAGGGTTTCAAAAAGGATTAACATCTCGGGGACGAAATCAAGAAGCGATAACATTAGAACGATCCCTACGATGTAAATATCATTATACCGCCTCTCATTTTCATTGTAGTTTGAGTTTTGGAAGGTACTTCATAGTTAAGAAAATGCCTAATTTTTGTATTTAAGCTTTTAAATCTCAAGGAAGGTTGATAAATTCGTTTCCTAATAGTTAGGACTCACGGGACGGTGATCGAAAGTCGTGAGTTCGATTTATTCCACTTGTAGTAGACTGTTTTGTAGTCCACTAGTGTTGGCCTCTTGTGCTGCTGATTTATGGAGTTTGGAAGAATAAAGGTCGTGGAGAAATGCCACATGTGGTAAGATAGTGGAATGGTCGCTCGCCGTTGCAATTTCAGGCTAATTGATAACTTATTGATTGGGTGTATTATGGTATATTTGAGTTTTTTGTATTAAATGTCCCGAATTGTAGTTAGGTTGTTTTTGAGTTGTTGATTGTATTGTGTTGTTGTCTCTCCTAAAATAGGCTTGAGGAAGCAGTAAAATCAGAGAAAATACTGCTTGTTTTGTTACAGATTAAGCTACTTTTGTTATATGAATGAGAGAGTCATTCATGGCTTGACAATAGCTTCACTATCGTTGTTGTAGATTAAAGTGCAATGAGCTGAGTTTAGCATTGTTATTGGAAAGATTTCTATAAGGATGTTAAGGCTATCTCTTCTTTCCTTTTAGCATGATCCATATGATACAGCGAAACAATCAAACACACAACTTTCTCAAACGACTATATTCTTAGAAGTACTAGGGTTGCCTATGTTCATGATTCCCCACATGTCCTATTATTATATCGTCTATTCATTGGTCTTAGAAAATACGTAAATTAATAAAGTTAATTTCATTATATTAACCGAAGGCGTATTGATCTTATGATATCCCGAGAGATCTTATTGACTTACTTCTTATGCATTGCATTCATTTATACATGTACATTGACCCATGACCAGATGGCGTTATATACATAGATTATATGTATATGGGGTACGGAAAAAGGTTATGGCATTATATATGCACCTCTACCTGATCAGTTGGTATATGTTGATGATTCGTCCATTGAGGCAGAGATGATATGATGGGATGCCCTCAGAGGCTTAATGATATTATGTATATCATACCTATGCATGATATGACATTTATACGCATATGCATAGCATTATAAATGTTTCATAATTCATAGATCTATTCAGACTTACAGGTTGAGTCCTTTACTCCATATTTGTTTCATGTCTTTTATATACTAATTTTTATGCTTTACATACTCAGTACATTATTCGTACTGACGCTCCTATTGCATGGGGTCTGCATTTCATGCCTGCAGGTACAGGTAGACAGGCTGACGGTCCCCCTTCTTAGGATCCTTGCTCAGCGAGAGTTGGTGCTCCATTTGATCTAGAGCTACTATTGGGTTTTGGTATGATATTTTTGTATATATATGGGTATGACGGGGCCCAGTCCTGTCTTTTATACAGTTGTATCTCTACTAAAGGTCTGTAGACAATCATGTATAGCTGGATAGTAGTCGTGTAGGCTCGCCCTACCATATTCTGCATATATATATATATATANTGGCAGATGTCATGCATAACCTTTCCTCATTTCATGTTTATATCTTAGACGTATGGTTAGTGGTGTTCGACAGGTAGGACTCGGGCACTCGTCATAGACCATCGGTTTCGATCGTGGCACATTAACTCATGCCCGACTTTATCATCAATCATTTGATCAATGTTTGGCAATGGGAAAAAGTCTTTAGGGCATGCCTTATTCAAATCTTTATAATCTACACACATTCTAAATGTATTATTACCTATATTTAATAATCGTGTTACCTCTTCCTTGACAAACCTATTTCTGACCTCTGCTATCTATCGTTTCTTCTGCCTTACTGGAGAGAAGATAGGATCCAAACTCAGCTTTGGGACAATCTGTCATATCTGAATGCGACCATGCAAAACAATCAACGTTAAATTTTAGAAAATCCATAATTTTTAACCTGAGTTCGGGATTCAAACCCGTTCCTAAATGAAATTTTCTTTCTAAGAACTCCTCGAACAAGGCTACTTGTTCGAGCTCTACTGCGGTTGATTTGGTCGCGTCCATTTCCTCCGGTAGGCCCCTACACCTCTGATGACTCCTCTTCTTTATCATTTTCAATTGCGATGGAAGAAGGCACTAGTTCCTGTAATTGCTATTTGCTAGTTTCTTTGCCCTTGCTACTGGAAACAATCACTGTGTTTATCTCCCTTGTAGCCGGTTGATCTCCTCTGATCTGCTTGATCCCTTCTGGCGTGGGAAATTTCAACAGCTGATGGTATATTGAAGGTACAACCCTAATTTCATGTATCCATGGCCTTCCAAAGATCACATTATAGCCCATGTCGCCATCTACCACTTCAAACGGGGTGGTCTTCGTTACTTTCTCGGCCTGTGTTGGCAATAAGATTTCTCCTCGGGTCGTTAAACTTGTTAAATTGAACCCAACCAGAAGTTTTGTTACCGTAACTATGTTTGTAGTTAACTTCACTTGCTCCAAAACTCTCCATTTTATGATGTTGGCTAAACTTTCTGGATCTACCAAAACACACTTAATTTTGAAATCAAAACTCGTCGTCTAAGGTCTTAGCTTGGTCACTCTATTAAGCTTTCCCAGCAAGGATCTAATCCTTCACGAAAAGTAAGAAATTTTGCATATTTTGACCAATTGAAGGTGAAAAATAAGGTTTCTCCCCAATCGCTTAGAGTGTAAAAGTGGGTCGACTGATAATTCCGGATGAAAAAATGGCCAAAAATGAAAGCATTTCTATATTATTTTTGCCAAGGTGGCATACAAGTGCAAGTGCTTTGCAGCTTCTTTTTATAGGATTCTCACTGAGGGATAAAAAATGTGTTAGCAAAACTTTTAAGATCATTCACATTAAGTAAAACATTAATCTAACAAATGGTGTAATTTAGGCATCTTATCTCTCCAAACATTGCGTTTTGTCATGTCAGCTAAGTTACAATTCAATTTCATCATTATTTAATGTTACCATTAGCATATAACTAAGCATTACATGATTGCACTGAAGGTCAGCCTTTTATAGATACTGATAATGCAATAACCACACGAATCTTCCAGGGTACAAAAAAAAGTAAGAAAAACCAGAGAATATTAGTAAAAGAAATCTTTATTTATCAACAAGCTTCCCACATAAAAGATCATAAACCTTGTTTGGTTCGAAAATAACAAGGCGTCACGCGAAAGCTAATAAAGAAATCCTTGAAGACGTTAAACCAGACATGATAGAGAAGTATATTAAAAAAGACACAATACTTTAATATGATTTGGTCAATTGAACAATATATGAAAAAACTAAAAGAAAAAAGTTATGGAGAGAAAAATCTACCCGTAAACAAAGTTCTTTTAAAGACTACATTGTGGATATTATTATGTTATTGTGTGAAGGAAGAATTCTCAATTTATAGAGGCCACAACTTTTTCCTCCAATAAAAGAATCTGTCAATTATTGAAGAGACCTATATGTTCCTTTACGGAAAAGTAAAATAATTATGGTTAATATTCTACTCTTCCTTCAACTAAAAAATAAATCCAAATAAGGTAAGAAAATCAAGACAAATTCCTAACAATTATCCCCTTTGGCCTGAATTTTTTTGACAACGCTTGGTTCGCCTTCTTCACATATTCTTCACTGATGCTGCTTGGCATAGTTAAAAATAGGGATGGGTTAAAAATTGGAGCCTCGTGTGTTAAAGATGAGCACGAGTTAAAATATTAGAACCCAACATTGAAAGTGAACAAAGTTAAAAGTAGAACCCATACATTATAGTTAAAAGTAGAACCCAACATGAGTTAAAAGTGAAATCCATACATTAAAAATAAACATGAGTTAAAAGGTAGAGCTCATGTATGGGTTAGAAAATGGTTTTTGTTTTTAAATATGCACCAGCATGAGTTTTGAAAGTATGGTTGAAATTTGCCTTCACATGTAGTACTCTTGACTTTTTTTTAAATAAAAATCTTTCAAATTAGCTATAGCTTGATTTGAACCCACATTGAACCTGTTTTCAACCTTGCTCTGAACCATTGGCAAATACCACTTGTTGGGTTTGAAAATAACAAGGCATCACGCGAAAGTAAATAAATCAAAACTTGAAAACAATAAACAAGCGGCATAGAAAAGTATATTAAAAGAGACATAATACGTTAATATGATTTTGGTCAATTAACCAACATATAATAAACTAATATTAAACAAAAAAGTTATGGAGAGAAAAAACTCCCTAAACAAATCTCTTTTAAAGACTGCATTGTGAATATTATTATGTTGTGTGAAAGAGGATTCTCAATTTATAAAGGCCACAATATTTTCTTCCAAGAAAGGAATCTATCAAATATGGAAGAAATATATATATTTTCCTTTAAGGAAAAGTAAAACAATAGTAATAGTTAATATTATACTCTTCCTCCGAGTAAAAGAATAAATCTAAATAAGGAAAAAATTAAAAACAAATTCCTAACAAAACTATTAGCCATCAACCACGATTTATGAAATCTTCCTCCGACTAAAAGAATAAATCTAAATAAGGAAAAAAATAAAAACAAATTCCTAACAAAACTATTAGCCATCAACCACGATTTATGAAATCAATTCACCACTGTCACGCACAAACTTCATGAGATTCCAGCACACCTTGATTTAGCATCAAGTAACGTAGCTAAACACACAATATTTTTGATAAAAGAATAAATCCTACTGACAAACAAATATTATTAACTGGTATAGTCTTGTCTGATGGCAGATCCTGGTATTCTCCAGCTGCAACTTCACTTTTAGGAACGACAGGGTGCAGGGCAGCTTCTGTTTTAACCTTCCCCGCCCCTCCCTGCATAGCATTTAAACCCGTATCCACCCGTCCCCCACTCCATCCGTCCCGCCCCGCAGTTTTTAAAAAAAAAAAAAATTGTCTTTTTTTTTTGCCAGTAATTGCATTATATAAACATGCCACAAGCATCTACGCAACATCTTAATTGCATATAGAACCTCGAAACCAGTAGGAGTTCTTTGTGACTCTTTTGCTTCTCCGACATTGAATGACTACTTCTAAAATCGCTATTTTTGCTGGAATTGAGTGAAGCCATGATTTTTCAAGAGAGTTTTGGTGAATGTCTTAAAAAGCGGCCATTTTGGTTTGCTCCTGGCCGACTGGTGGTAGCAGCTCTGGAGCATTGNCAATATTTTCCGTTTTTCTTTTCTTAATTTAAAAAAAAAAAACTAGTACCGCCTCCTGTATACCTATTCTTTTCTTTTTTATTTAATTATTTTCCCATATCTCTCTATCTTTTATTGAAATCCTCAATTTTTTCTGAACAAATATAAAGAAAAATAAGACCAAAGGAGATTTAATTTTTTTAACCTATCAGATGATCAAAAGCTCAGCAAGACAAAGATTAAAATTAAATCCCCAACCAGCAACCCGCCCGCGTGACTTTTTTGGGGAAAAAAATTGAACCCACCCTGCAACCGCAAACTCTCAAACCCCCACCGCTCTGCAAACGCTCAAACACGTGCTGCCCCGCACCACTCGCACCCGCACCGCCCCATTACCATCCCTGTAATCACTTCTTTTTCAGGATATTAGCTATGGACACCATCTCCATGACCAGGACAGATTGACAAAAGAACAACTCTTGTTGCGAACAACTCATCCCATATAAAACAGAGCCAACCTTGCATCCATTATTTATGTGCAGAACAAGATGGAACCTAGTCTAGTGTTCTCAAACTACACGCAGTGGCGGATTGTAAGGGCTTCGGGAAGGACCTATTCAGCACAAAAGTTGGATTTTAGACTTTATGAAGTTAACAAATTCACCCATTCATGGGCATTTAAATTGTGCATAGAAGAAAAAGAAACAATCTAGAATAGACTTAGCTTAATATTGTCGATATAGGAATAGACTTAGCTTAATAGTATTACTCTCTGCTGCTGTGTAACACAGTATGATTTTGAGCGTTTATACACCCAAATACATATATTTTTTTGATAGGTAAGATAGAAAAGTATTATTGATGTAAACCAGCATCAAGAGAATGCTAGTCAAAAGTTTATAAATCGCTTAAAAATGACAAAGGAATAACAAATGAAACTTCTACCGGGCTACAATTAAAAGAAATCTGTAGTTACTGGCGCTAAGCCACCCACACTAAAATGTGGTTGCAATTTCCATAAAGAAATCAAGTTAAGAACAACTAACCATGAGGAGTAAGATTGGAGTGATATAGGGGAGTTCAAAGAAAACCGGAAAAACCACACCAAATCAAAAACCGAATCAAACTAATTAGACAGACTGATGTTTTCTTTGGTTTGATTTGATACGGACTACCTTACAGAATATTTGTTGCATGCCAGAACTTCTGATCAATAAATCCTTGCAGTATACATGGATTAGACTTTATAAAGAAAAATTATTCCACCTATTGCTTTTTGTTTAGATCAACTATTCCACCAGTTATGTGCTACCTTCCAGCGGCACAAGTATCGGTTAACTCTGCCAAACAAGGATTAGGCAAATGGGAAGAAATTACCTAGCGTTTTTTGTCTTTGACGGGATTTAACCCCTGGTTTCGGAGGTTTTCACCCACCCACCTCATTGACTGCTAAGCTACTCTTGGGTGCAAAAACAAGTATGGTTGGCATGGATTAGACCTATTTGGCTTAAGCCTTCTAGGTATTTGCGATAGGAAGGGAAAACTCATTTACGGGTTACATCTATACTCGGAAAGAAATGGAGTGCACAAAGGAACATACTCCATTTCTCTAAGTCTCTTACTGATACCTGATGTTTGCTCTATCCTAGAAAGTGGAGAATCAGCACACAGAAATTTGTCCAGGACACTGACAGTTTGACTAACCTGATGGGAAAACAATAAACATGTGAAAGAAATCATAACGTACGGAGGGAATGAGCTAGGTTACAAAAAACTCATGCAAAACTGTTTTACATTGACTGATTAAATGAAAAAAAAAGATCTATATATAACAATTGCCTCCACACAAAAAAAACCATACTTCAACCTTTAGATCGAGGAATTGTCAAAAAGGCAACAGGATACTGGCAAAGATTAAATACCTGCCAAACCCAGTGCTGGAGAATAATCGGCACCATTGTACTTGTTGAAGTTGTCAAACTCCCACATCGGTTGGGGAGAAAAATTGTTGGGATTTTTCCCTTATAAAAGGAGACCTAATGTTTAGAATTTAAACACACCTCTCATTTGCCTTCTTATCTTCTTAAGGCATTTGTATCTTCTCTCTTTAGTATTATTTCACTTGTTTTTTTTGGAGTGGAATAAAATATTGGTTGTGTCCGAGGAAGTAGGCAAAATTGGCCGAACCTCGTAAATTCTGGTGTTCCTTTTATTGTTGCTTTA